TCCCAAAAATAAATAAACGTTGAAAAAAAAATTAAAAAAAAAAAAAACAAACAAAACAAAAAACCCCACCATGATGTCTGGGTTTAGTGGGTAAAATAACTCACTGATATACATGAAGGGAGATGAAACAAGAATGACCCTAAATAATGATGGAAGACTAAGGGTCCATAATCTTTTCCATTCTGTGTATATTTGAAAGTAGCCAATAAAAAGGGTTGAAGGGGCGCCTGGGTGGCGCAGTCGGTTAAGCGACCGACTTCAGCCAGGTCACGATCTCGCGGTCCGTGAGTTCGAGCCCCGCGTCAGGCTCTGGGCTGATGGCTCGGAGCCTGGAGCCTGTTTCCGATTCTGTGTCTCCCTCTCTCTCTGCCCCTCCCCCGTTCATGCTCCCCCCCCCCCGTACTCCCCCTCTCTGTCCCAAAAATAAATAAACGTTGAAAAAAAAAATTTAAAAATAAATAAATAAATAAAAAGGGTGGAATATGTCCTTGTATTAGTAATTCTATGTTGGGAAGATTATCTTTAATTAATTTATTTTATTTTAGAGAGAGAGGGAGAGAGAAAGAGCATGCACATGTGAGTTGGGGAGAGGGGCGGGGGGGTGGTGCGGAGAGAGAGAATCTTAAGCAGGCTTCAAGCTCAGCACAGAGCCCAATGAGGGGCTCGATCCCATGACCCGGGGATCACGACCTGAGCTGAAATCAAGAGTTGGCCACTCAACCAACTGAGCCACCCAGGTACCCCTGGTTTATCTTTTTTTTTTTCCTTTTTTTAGAGAGAGAAGAGGAGAATGAATTTTAAAAGCGCACAAGGAAGCTTTTGTTTTTATGAATCAAAATGTCCAAATACACATTTTAAACATGCACATTTTAGTCAATTATACATCAGCCAAACTTGAAGTCACAAATACTCAAATAGTGTCACTCCCTGATCACTTTACTGTTTTCGTATCGCATACGGTCTGGAGGCCATCTGTGGGTACTCTATCAATAGGGTAGAAATAGAATGGCGTGCTACTGCCAACTTTTCCCAACCCCGTTTGGGGACATCATGTCGGCAGTTTGAAATTGGTCATCGTGGGAGAACTTATACCAAGAAAGTCAGCAAATGCTAGAAACTAAGGCTTAATTTATCATATTATTGAATACAATATATGGAATGTCTACGCCTAGAAAAGTGACGGAGGGGCGCCTGGGTGGCTCAGTCAGTTAGGCGTCCCACTTCAGCCCAGGTCATGATCTTGCGGTCCGTGAGTTTGAGCCTCCCACGGGGCGCTCTGCTGTCAGCCGACCGTCAGCAGAGAGCCCGCTTCAGATCCTCTGTCCCCACTCTCTCTCTGCCCCTCCCCTGTACATGTGCATGAGCTCTCTCTCGAGAATGTATTAAAAATATAAAAATAAAATAAATATTTTAAAAAGTGATGGAAAGTATGCTAATAAATCGTATAGGTGGCCACTACCTTGTGCATATCCCCCCAAAGAGAATACCCATAAAGAAAAAATGACAGAATATTCTTCGAGTACTCAAAAACAACTATTCCATGCAGCAAAGAAGTTGCCCACATTACTGAAGAACAAAGAATATTTCAACCTAAGTCTGTTTTGTTTCATCTTATTTGTTACTAAACAGAAAATAACCAAATTTCCTAAGAGAGAAAATAGTCCACAGGTAAGAAGAGGCAGTTTACTAAAAAAGATAAACAGCAAACACATGAAATAATGCTCAACACCATAAATCCTTAGGGAAATACAATGAAAACAAATGAGATAACAATACTTATTTTAAAAAGGTGAAATTAAAAAGTCAATCTTACCAGGCACTGACAAGGGTGAAGGAGTTGGAAGTCTCACACGCTGCTGGTGGAAATGCAAAAAGACACAACCATTTTAGATCACTGCTTGGCAATTTTTAAAAAGGAGTTAAATATCTACCTACCCCATGACTCAGGCAGTGTACTAGGAGTCATTAAAATAGGAGAAATGAAACACATATCCACATAAAGAATTATAAACAAATGTTTACACCAGGTTTATCTGCAAAAACTCAACACTGGAAATAATCCAAATATCCATCAACAGATGAACGGATAAATGCAGCTGATGACACATCAAAGAGAAAGCTACTCAGAAATTAGAATAAATGATTCATACAGGCGCCATTTAGGATTCTCAACGCCGCATCAAGAAAACAGAAAAAAAGAGCAAACACTTTATGGTTAATCATAAAATTCTAGAAAATGCAATCAATTTTCATTTTTTTTTAAACGTTTATTTATTTTTGAGACAGAGCATGAACAGGGGAGGGTCAGAGAGAGAGGGAGACACAGAATCTGAAGCAGGCTCCAGGCTCTGAGCTGTCAGCACAGAGCCCGACGCGGGGCTCGAACTCATGGACCGTGAGATCATGACCTGAGCCGAAGTCAGACGCTTAACTGACTGAGCCACCCAGGCGCCCCAAAAAATGCAATCAATTTTAAAAGAATGCAAATCAATGGTTGCCTGGAGGGCCAGAGAGAGATTATAAAAGGGAGAAAGGAAAACATGCAGGTGACAGACATGCTCATTATCACTGCTAACAGTGACGGTTTCCTAAGTGTACACAGGTCAAAACTTACCATGCTGTAATGCTTTAAATACGTTCAGTTTAGTCTATGTTTATTATGCCTTAACTTAATACAGCTTTCAGAAGTGGTTCACAATAAAAATCCAAATCTCCCACCCTTCAGAACATCAGGTCTGGGAACTCTGTATTGACTCCACTGTCTCACTCATGCCTGAGGGTCAGCCTTTCCTCAGTGGCAGTTAATACTGGCCAACAGTGAAAGCCATTTCCACCAGAGTAAGGGCATTGCTAGCTGGGTCACAATAGCCATATCCCCAGAGTACAGGATCTCCCTTCTCCCCTGCCTTCTTAGGTTGACTGTACAGCAACGGCCTTGAGGTTAACAGCTCAGATTGGCTACAGGAACCCACGAAACCCCTGGTCTGCCAGTGACTTCAGCTACACAAGATAAACCCACCTGGAGATCCTGAGATTTCTGTACACTCGCAGCCTGCAATCACCGAAACACCTGTGGGTGCACACCCGGGAGAGGCGCACTCCATGTACCCTGCGGCAGTCTCCTCCACGCTCTCTTGATAGTGTTTCTGTGCCAATTATGGGTTCCCTTGCCCCTGCAGTCTTATAGCCAGCGACACTGGCCTACTGAGCTCTGGGTATCAGGGTGCACAGCTCCTCTGCAGGACCTGGGGCTGATTTTCCTCAGCACTGCTGGGCACTGAGGTATCCCGTGAACAAGGAAAAATTCACGTTGTCTCCAAAAGCACGGATGTTGTCACAACTGCCCCTTTCTCAGGGTGACCTCTGGCATCCAGGCAAAAACTCAGGACCACAGAGCAGTCTTTCCTAGGAGGTCCTGGCAGCAACGCAGACTATGATGCAACTGGAGAGCACTACACTCTACCATCACACTGTCCCCTCTGAGGCACCCAACGTTTGCATCCCCTCACAACTTTCCACTTCAAGTTGGCAGTCCTTCAAGCTACCCTACACTGTGGACAGAGTTTCTAAGATTAAAGGTGCTTAAACAGAAAGGCCTTTATTATTGCACAAACCAGCCAAAGCTGTGCGAGTTTCCGGTTCAATGACTTGGAAGCTGGAAAACCTCATCAAGAGCACTCCCTGAGACCAGTTAGATCTCTCAAAAAGCTAGTTCTTCTGCGCAGGCCATCAGCAGAACCCAGATAGTGTTCTAGAGGCCAACAGAAGGTCAAGTCCATGTGCTAACTTGTCAAGAGAGAAGGGAATGAAGATCTCATAAGGCTCAGGATACTCTTGATTTCCTCTAGCACATGGGAGAGCAGAGGTCAGCTTTGACAAGCAGACCAAGGTGACTGACGCACACTGTGGGGACTGGTCACGTGGTAGAGCTGAAGTGGCTGCTGCCACTGAAACTGGCAGTGACATCAACCTGGCAAGGAGCTTGGACAGGTTGTACATGCTTCCCGCAGAACTGAAACTTACAGGGAAATCTCCAGTCTGTAGATGTTTTCAGATCTATAAAATTCAGTTCAGGCAGATGGCTCAAGAGGCTTTCCTCCACCACAATTAAACTAAGTAAGGAAAGGGCACATTCTCTGCATCTGTTTCACTTTGTGTGAACTCTTTGGTGTTGACTGAGCTCAGTTTGCAGCTAAAGGATTTCTCATTCACTACAGGTGAGCTCTCCTATGTCGAAGGAGGCCAGAGCTCTGGCTAAAGGATTTCCCACACTCATTGCACTCATAAGGCTTTGCTCCAGAGTGAACTGTCTGGTGTCGAACAAGGTGGGTTTTACGGCTGAAGGATTTCCCACATTCACTGCATTCATACGGCTTTTCTCCAGTGTGAACTCTTTGGTGTTGAATGAGGACAGATTTCTGGCTAAAGGATTTCCCACATTCATTGCACTCATAAGGCCTTTCTCCAGTGTGAACTCTTTGGTGTTGAATGAGGACAGATTTCTCACTAAAAGATTTCCCACATTCAATGCAATCATAAGGCCTTACTCCAGTGTGAACTCTCCAGTGTCTCATGAGGTGGGTTTTACAACTAAATGATTTCCCACATTCAGTGCATTCATAAGGCCTTGCTCTAGCGTGAGCTCTCTTGTGGCGAAGAAGGCCAGAACTTTGGGTAAATGATTTCCCACATTCAATGCATTTGTAAGGCCTTTCGTTAGTATGAACTCTCAGATGTTTAATAAGGATAGATTTTTGGATAAAGGACTTCCCACACTCACTGCACTCGTACGGCCTCTCTCCAGTATGAACTCTTTGGTGTTGAATGAGGTCAGATTTCTGGCTGAAAGATCTGCCACATTCTATGCATTCATAAGGCTTTGCTCCAGTGTGAACTCTCCAGTGTCGAATGAGATGGGTTTTGCGACTAAAGAACCTCCCACATTCACTACACTTGTAAGATCTTTCTTCGGTGTGAATTTTCTGGTGCTGAAAAGGTCTGTATTTACAGCGGACGTCTTTTCCACATTTGCTACATTCTTCAAGACCTTCTCCATCGTGGAATCTCTGGTGGTCAAGAGTGTGAGTGTTGCTGAAAGCTCTCCTGCATTTGATCCACTTGTGACTTATTCCGCTGGTAAAGGGCTCCCCACACTCAATGCTGCTCTGGGGCTTCTCTCTATTGGGCATATCCAGGTGCTGGAGAAGGCCTGAGGGAGCTAGAAAGTCCTTTCCACCTTCCCCACTGGCAAAGGGCCTCGCTGACATGTGGAATCTGCAGCTCGTCACTAACAAGGCACTGTCCATATCCATTTTGAACATTTTCTCTCCACTGTCATGCTTTTGATGCTGGTGAAGGTTTGCACCAAACCAGAAGCCTCTGGTCGCCCCACCCAAGTATGATTTCTGCCCAGAATATGCTGCTCGGAGCTCAGAAGGTTGCAAATTGTCTTTCAAGACTGGGACACAATTCTCACAGAGGTGAGTCTTCTGGATTGACAAACCTGTCTTAGAAGTCCTGACCTGTGACACTCTTTCTACAGAAACACTCTGCTCAGAAGGTACTTCCTCATTCTCTGCTCCACACCAACAATCTGAAAGCAGAGAAATGCTGATAAAGTATACTTTACCTCTGAGGAAGAGAGGGAAGTCCCATCAAAAATGTGTGTCAAAAATATACATTCAAACCAAAGACAGAATCCACGGGTATAATTTCAGAATGGGGCACCAATTTGAAGGGAGGGCTGCTTTGCAGTACTGGGCCTCTAAAGATGACAGAATGAGGGAGACCTTTTGGGACAAAGGGCACAAGTAGGGGGTGCCACACAGGGAGGGGAGGCAGGATCACTAATTCACTCCTGTGCCAACAGTCTTCAGCAGGAACTTGTTGTCTGGGGACAAGTCCACGCTACTGAGAACGATGGTTCTGCCCAGGCCCAGGAAAATACCAGTGGAACTGAGTATCTGGTGTTCAAGGACAATTTAAGGATATGTGCACACGTCACAACACATTACGTACAGGAGAACTGCAGACCACGTGGTGGAGAGGAACAAGTGATGGAGGTCAGGAAGCCGGGGACAGCCAGGAATGGAAGTCACAGATGAAATGTGACTCAGAGTCAGAAAAGCGTAGAGTATGCAGAAAAAAGGTGTAGAAATGATGTGTCCAGTGGCACCTGCACCGAAACGCTGGTGAACACAGGGCGGGTTCCTGGTATACTTTAAACACAGCCCTGATGTCAGGCCCCTTCCAGCAGCTGCCACTCACCAGGCCAGGCCTTCTCTGAGACCGCCAGGCCAAGTCCACCCTGCGAAGCAGCCAGCACCCTCCTCAGACTCCCAGTTGGAGAACTACGTAGGACCTGAGTGAGGCAAGTCCTTAGGGAAAGACAGGACAGGTGAGGGGTCATCACCAGCCCAGAGCAACTAGGAAATATCGGACCACAGAAAGGAACACTGCAATTAAAATCTCAAAGGACGGTCTTTCAAGAAAGGTCTAAGGACCACATAAGTAGGGACCATGACGATGTTTACAACTCCTGATATAGGCAATCATAAGGAAATCTTTAAAAGTTCTCATCACAAGGAAAAAATATCTGCAACTCTGTATGGTGATGAACGTTCATTACACGTAATGTAGTAAGCATTCTACAACATATACAAGTATCAAATCATTACACTGTATGCCTAAAACCAATATGTTGCATATCAATTATATCTCAATTTAAAAAAAAAAAAGGAGGAGGCAGAACCTGGGGCACAAGATGCCACGAATCTGGACACAGTCATCCCACCAGGGAGAGGGTGAGCAATGTGAGATCCATTCGGGTGACTGTGGGACTCCCAGATTCCCAGACCCTTCCCTGCACACGGTGGGGTAGCAGGTATCAGGGCGGCTTGCTGAGGGCACCGCTCGGGGCAGTGAACATAGCTTAGCACTGGCACCCACAGCACACATGCCAAGGAAGTGGGGAAGTTAGCAGAGGCCAAGGTTTAGCTCTGGGAGAGGGAGAAAGAGCAGCTCACAACACTGAGAGGAAGATGAAGGCCTTACCCAGGGATGTTGCAAGTGCAAAGGTCTCCAGCATCACGTCGTGGTACAGGAACCTCTGAGCCTCATCAAGGAGCCCCCACTCCTCCTGGGAGAAGTACACGGCCACGTCCTCGAAAGTCACACAACTCTGCCAGAGTGGGGACAGTTCATTCCATAATCAGCTTCTCCCCTAGGATTCCCAAGTTCATCCACCCACTCATCCTTCCCCTGCTCACCCACCTCCCCACGTCCCCATCTCAGAGAAGATACCAGGCCCTGGGGCATCTGATGCACACTGTCTCCTTCTGGTCCCTTTGATCACCATGTCCACCCACAGCAACGACAGGCAGGTGGGCAGGTAGACGATACCAAAACTCTGATGTCAGGCCCCTTCCAGCAGCTGCCACTCACCAGGCCAGGCCTTCTCTGAGACCGCCCTGCCAAGTTCCCCAAGAGGGACACACTCTCTCGTTAAGCAATTCTTCAGATCAGATGTCCCAGACGTAACCAAGGGTGTGGGCTCCCATTTCTCTCTTATGTTCTCAAGGCCAGGGCCCTCGGGCCTTCACTTCCCACTCTCTCCAAGTTCTCCCTGCTCTGTACCACAGGCACCCCCCATCCTTCTTCCATGGCATAGAGTCTGGCAAATTCAAACACGTTCCAGAACTACAGCAGCACACCTCCAATGGTCCCCACAGCCAGAGGCAGCCCAGAGTCCTGCTCCGTAGGTCTCCCTGCCTGACAGCTCCTGGCTTCAACCGCAGCCACACGGAACCACTTGTGGATCTCAGCACTCATGACCCTCCTCCACTCATGCTGCACTTGATCGGCTCTCACCGGTCAAGCCTTCCTCTCTCTGTCCAACCCTCATCCAGAGCCAGTCCCAGAGCCTTTCCACCCCAGGTCCAGAGATTCTCCTACATGAGCACTTGGCCCCCGAGCTAATCCAGCTGCCCGACTGAAAGTCCCCAGGCACACCAAGGTCACAACAAAGTCCTGGGGACCCCAGAGCAGTGAGTAAGCAGCAGTCCTGGCCTCACCACCATGTTGCCTCCATTACTCCCACACTCCTGCATCATCTCATGTGCACCCACCTCTCAGAAGCCTTGCTCCCATCAGGTCATCCACTCTCCCGCACTGTTCCCACCACTCCTCTCTTTCACTGACCCACACGCAGACACTGGTCTGCACCCCCCAACTAGGTGACCAAGCACGAGACCAGCCTCTGACCTCACTCACCCCTTCCGAGGCTACTATTAACATCGTCATGACTGGGATTACCCCTCGTCAACGTGACCCACTGTGTTATGGACCGAATGTACGCATTCTCCCAAAAGTGGTATGTTTGGAGCCCTAACCCCCAGTGTGATGGAATTTGGAGATTTGGAGGTGGGGCCTTTTGGGGTGGTGATCAGATTTTGATTAGGTCAGGAGGGTTTCTTAAGAAACCCTTCTACTTTCTTCTCTCTCACCTTCAAAATCAGAAAATCACAGGTCTACTGAAAAAACCTGATTCAGAATCCAGCCATCTCTACCCCCTCCAAGGCCACCACACTGGTCCACATCATCAGCGCTCACTGGACTACTGCAGTACCCTCCTCCCTGGTCTTCCTGCCACTTCGCTCACTCGCCCAGTCTGTTCTCTGTGCTGCAGCCGCAGGAAGCATAAGAGCTTGAACAGATCCCTCCTCTGCTCCAAAGCTCCCACTGTTCCCACCATCTCCAGAGTAGACACCCAACTTCTCAGGGGGCCATCCCAGGTCTGACTCCTGCCCCTGTGCTCTCTGTTCCCATGAGAAAGGACACTGAGCTACCCTTGTTCAGCTCAGTCTCCCCTCCAAAGGCCTGCAGACACTGGTACAATACTGGGGCAACCGTCCTCCACACCTCATTCTATTGGCTGCCAGCAACAGGAACCACTCCACAGAACCCCCAGCCTGGTCTGAGGACCCTGGGCTTAGAACCTGTTCCCAGTCCCCAGGCCTGGAAGAATGACAAATGAAGAGTGTCAGGACACCACAATCACAGAGATAAAGAGAGGAATCAGGACCAGTGAGGTTCTGGAACACCATCCACTCACTCACCTCTGCAGGGTTCATAAGTGCTTCTGTACTGATAACAGTCTGTGTGAAGAGGAAAGTTCGGAGAGGCAGGTGACCATGGCAGGGCTCCATGGGCTCCGGGCTACTCTGCACCCCTGCCCAGCCCTGGAGCCAGGTGACCTGGGATAAGTACAGTCTCTCTGATCCTCAGTCCCCAGAGCTGAGTCTTACAACTGTATGACCTTGGACAGGAACCAAATCCTCCCTGTGCTTCCTATTATCATCCTTCCTCCGGTCTGGTCCCTTTAGCACCTTGTAAAAACTTTTTAAAAAGGCTAATTCAGGTGAGGCCTTTCCTGTTCACAATTCTCAATGGCTCCCAGCCTCTGATGGCCACCTGCCAGTCCCCCCGTGACCCCGCCGCACACCCTCTGTTCCCCTGAGGGCAGAGGGAGGACCCCACACCCCCCAATTCCTCCCCCTCGGCGCCCCCTTCAGCCCTGCACCAGCCGGCCCCCTCCCCTGCAGCCCGCTCCCGCACCCTGTCGTGCCAGCGCTCAGACACAGGGTCCCCACACGCGAGCGCCTCCCCGGCCCGGACACCGGTACCTGGACAGCAGGGACGCGAGCAGGCGCCCCGCGCTCGGGCCTGGAGGGTCTGGGGCGGGGGGAGAGGGCCCGGGGGGCGCGCGTTTACCTGAGCCGGGTCCCTGCGCGCGGTCGCCGCCATCTGACTCTGGGCGGAGCGGACACCCGGGCCAGCGGTCCCCGTCCCGGCCCCGGCGCGGGGCAGCCCGGGCGGCGTTGAGGAGTCGCGGACGCCAGTCTGCGCGGCGGGGACAGCGCCTCCCCTCGCGCCTTCTCGGTCCCCTCAGTCTCCACCCGACCTCAGGAGTCCGTGACCCAGCACATACAGCTCAGAGCAGCCAAAACTACCGCCACGAGGAGGACGCCGGAAGTCCCGCCCCGACACGATGGGAACACACGGAATTGCCCTTCTCGTGAGCCTCTATTGGCTAAACGACGACGACGCCCGGCGCAGCGTCCTCTGGGTAGTGTAGTTCTCACAGCACGAAAAGCCCTGGCGCGGGGCGCCCCTCACCCGCAGACTAGGAGGGAGACGTGCTGAGAGGTGGTGTCTCCGTCTCCCAAGGGCGGGGGATGGGCCTCGCTCCTTTAAGGGGCTGCTCTTAGATTTCTGAGGAGTGTCGTGTGCAGCTGATCACCTAGGTGTTTAGAGAAGTTATTTCGGACTCCTTGAAGCTTAGTATTTTCTGGGATTCTAGTAGTATTATTTCAGATGCTCCCAGTGACTCAGTCCATTCCACAGAGTCGTGCAGACACAAAACGTGGAGCCTAATAGTTTATCTTCTGTCTTTTCAAATGCCTCTAGCCCGAAACGTTAGAGTCAGCTTTGTGAGTTTCAGTACGCTGGGTCAGGAACAAAAGAAAAAGACTCCGCACAGGGACAGGACAGAGAGGAAACAAAGTGTTAGACTGCCGTAGAGCAAGAGGACAAAGGTGAACTCTGTTGTTAGAGCAAGAGGACAAAGGTGAACTCTGTTGTTGGTTCCCACAGAAAATCTCTCTGCTGGCCGTATAGGTAGTGATTGTGTCCAACTCACTGAGGAACACGGATTTGTATCCATAATATCTGTTACTCCCTATCCTTAGCCACATTTAATTCCTTTTAGGAATCTGGCGAGTATTTAAAAGAAGAGACAACTGTGCTGACAGGGCGAAGCCTGCTTGGGATTCTCTCTCTCTCCCTTTCTCTGCCTCTCCCCTTCTCATGCTCTATCTCTCTCAAAATAAATAAACTTAAGAACAATAATAAAAGGAGAGCCACTTACCAAATGTCATTTTGGAAAAGGACAGTGTCTATAGTGTTTGCCAATATAGGAGCACGTGGGCAAAGAGGATACCAGACTATGAAGTAAAGGTTTGGGACACTAAGATCTCATCCATTTGACGGGAAGTTATTATCGTTCCTGCTGCTACTGCAGGGATGGTGTCTGTATGGGGAGTTGAGATGATCTCAGAAACAGTCGTGAAATGAAAATCACTGAAACCCATTAATAATGGTTATGTAGTCATTCAGGGATAGTGGCAGGATAGCGCTGGGAAAATATCAGTAAAAGGTAAAAAAAGAAAAAAAAAGTTAATACTCCTACCAACTTCCATTAGCAAATTATGCCCGGAAAAGAAAAACATGTATATGCCAACAATGGCTATAGAGCAGCTGTGAGTTAAACACATTTTCTTACTGATCCTCACTTCATGCATAATGAAGGATTCAGAGTGGATATTGTGAGGATCAGTCAGTTTGGACAGAGACAAAAGATGAACTCAGGCTATCAGAGAGAACGCAGAAAAGTAGGTAGCCCTAAAGCAAGTAGAAGAGGATGACATGTCTCTGGGTCCCTCAGACACCATCCACGTGCCTCTCCTTGTATTTATGTCCCAACTCAAGCAAGAAGTATTGATTTTCAAGACAGTATTTCTTTATTATTATCAAAATATGTTCTTTCTTAAATTTGACACTTATCTGGAAATCGTATTTACCACATCACCATTTGTTGCCAGGATGGTGGTTGTCATGGTGGTATCCACATACATGTAAAAATAAGTATATGAGCCTTGAAATAAAGGCCTGTGTATCTGTCATCTCATCTCTTTCTGGGAAGTTATTATCATTTCACCTCTAACTGATGTGACTGCATATCTCAATAATTAAAGATATGTATTCTCCCCGGTATTATTGAGATAAATATCAATAGCAGGTGACCAAAGGACCTTCCATTCTATGAAACAAGGTAAAATAGTGAGCAGATTGCATTCTGGGTTCCTGCCATCCTGAGGGCTTCTCCAAATGTGATATTTTAAAATTCCCATGGACAGTTAAAAATAGCAGATTTCAGGGGTGCCTAGGGGGCTCAGTCAGTTAAGCGTCCGACTTCAGCTCAGGTCATGATCTCATGGTTTGTGAGTTCAAGACCACATCAGGATCTGTGCTGACAACTCAGAGCCTGGAGCCTGCTTTGAATTCTGTGTCTCCCTGTCTCTCTCTCTGCTCCTCCCCTGCTTGTGCATTCTCTCTCTCTCTCTCTCTCTCTCTCTCTCTCTCTCTCTCAAAAATAAACATTAAAAAAATACCAGATTTGAGGGATACACAGAGAAAGAGAATTAAGAAAACTTTTCCAGGGTAATAAAAATGAACAAGGAGACAGTGGTGTCTCATTTTGTTATTTCAATAAACATTTATTGTGGTGCGCCTGGGTGCCTCAGTCGGTTAAGTGTCCCACTCTTGATTTTGACTCAGGTCATGGTCTCATGCTTCGTGAGTTCAAGCCCTGCATCAGGCTCTGTGCTGACAGCACGGAGCCTGCTTGGGATTCTCTCTCTCCCTCAAAATAAATAAGTAAACATTAAAGAAACATTTACTGAGTATATGTGGTACATTAATCTTTTTATTGGGTGTGCATAATGTGTCAGGAAACAAATGAGATAACAAACCATATTTCATGTTGCTTATAATCATATTAAGGATATTAATAAAAATAAATATAAACAACATACTATCTTTTAAGTAAACAGGTGCTTTGAAACAGAAAAAAAAAGATAACAATGATGAGAAGTGCAAGAGAGTGACTGCAGATGGGTTGTGATATCGAAGAGGGTTTGTCAACTATTCCTCAATAAAGCTGGAGAAAAAGAGAATTGAGTGGGATGCTCCACTAATAAAAGCATATTTAAGGAATGCCTTGAAGACCGTGGAGGGAACTCTGTGTATAGCCTTGTGTTCCATAGAGGAAACAGCTAGAACAGATGCCTTGGGCCAGTGCTGACCTTTCATGTTCCAGTCAGAGTAAGAAAGATAATGCAACTGAAAGCATGTGAGTGAGGAACGGCTTGGTAAAAGCTACAGTTGGATCATGAAAGGCACTGTAGATCACTGGAAGAACTTTCCATTTTATCCTGGTTGATAGAGGAATCATGACAGGGACTGGAACATCATGCTAAGTGTCTGAATGAGAAATGAGGAGAAGGCAGGCTGAGAACCTAAAAAGAGGTAAGGTTAGCAGCAGATAGATGACTAGCCGGGTGACTTATCACAGACATCTAGGTGAGAGGTAATGAGGTCTGCAATCAAAGTTGGGGCAGTACTGGACACAGTATCATTAGGTACTCGATGTGTTTTGAAGTTATTTCTTTTCATCCCTAAGGGATTTTCAGTTGGGTTGCTCAATTGGCATGAGCAAAGGAAAGGTACAGAATATGACTCCCAAACTTCATACATGAACAGTAGTAGAATGAGGGACTTGCCATCAGCTGAGATTGTGGGAAAGCAGTAGAAACAGGTTAGGAGGGAAGATCGGGAATTCAGACACCAACATAGTAAGTACAAGATGCCTGTTGAGCATGTGAATATAGCTGTCAAGTCGGCAGGCAAATCTCAAGAATTTTCGAGAGCAGTGTTGTCAGGATTAACTCTGAACACTGTTAGTTTGTAAGCTTCTAAGTATCGAAAAGACGAGACTGGATGAGATGACCAAGGGGGTAACTTCAGGTGGAGTAGGTGAAAGGAAAATAGACCGGTGTGCAGGGAAATCCCAACACTAATTTTGGGTGGAAAGGAGAAACAGAGAAAGAGATTTGAAAATTACCAACTATTTCTCAGTTGGACAGTCACAAGTCTCTTATGTCTGTCTCAGCCTATCAAAAGTGACTCTACTGCTATTAATGCCCGAGGTCCTTGCTTGGGCCATCATACTGGTGGTGAGCCCCATGGAGCCAATGTTGGTAGGTGGACTGGCTCTTACAGTTCTTATTATGACTGCAAGTTGCGCTTCAGCAAAAACCATGAGGGAACTTCAAAGGACAAGATTTCTTCCTCACAGGTCCCAGAGGGTACAAGTCATGCCAAGGGGCCACATAGCGGGTCAAGGGTAAAGAGGGAGAGAGGAAGCTCCGACCCGGGGCTCTGCCTTTATTGGTGCCCAAGGGCGGGGTGCCCAGGTTTTGCAGGTGGATTTAAAGAAGAAGAATGGGCTGGACACTAGGGTTTCAAGAGAGAAAAGCGAGGTCCCAAAGGCAATCAGTTCTCCAGGTTATTCATGGCTTTCTAAAGGAGGAACTTAGTTGTTTTGTTAGTAGCTGTGTCGTACGGTAGGCAATATGTGTATTTCAGATGGATGTCTTTGCAATGGATGCCTTGGCAATCAAAAGCTTAATCTGCATTATAATCCTCATGCTTACTGTCAGGCACTTATGCCACACAAGTCTTAAGACACGAGGGGATTTAGAAACCTGTTTGTGCCTTCGGTGCGCCGTGGTGGCTCAGTCAGTTAAGTCCGACTCGGGTCTTCCGGCCTCATCACCTTGGGCGGGACCCCACACTCCGCAGGCCGTGCGCGTGCGGACACCACGGTAGCGACGCCGGAAGCCCCGCCCCCAGCCTACGTCTAACACAGAAGCACTCCATCCGGAACGCTCATTGGCTTAGCGTCTCCGCTGGGCAGAAGGCTTTTTCGGATGGTGTAGGGCCACTGCTGGTCTCCGCGAGGGGCGCTCCGCACTTGTCACTGCGGAGCAAAGGTCACCGGCCCCGCGAGGGTCTCTGGGAAGTAGCGCTGCTTTGTCCGAGGGCAGAGGCTGAGCTCCGCTCCCCAAGTGGGCTGAAACCCAGTTTCTGCGAGTCTTGTGGGCAGGTGATCACCGAAGTGTTTAGACGTGTATTTCTCCAGACTCCACCGGGCTCGGATGCTCCCCGGGACTGCAGGTGCACACGGACCCAACGGCAAGCGACTGTCGTGTGATTGCGCGTCATGTGGCCGTAATCCGATGCATCAGAGTCAGTCCCGGACGCTTAGGGGCTGGGGTCAGGACGGGAGAGAACAGCCTCCAGGCCGGAAACGACCCCTGTGAGTCGAGCACCAGGGCTCGAAGAAGCCTTAGGCAAAGTGTACAGTCCGTTCCGCCGACAGGGGCCGAGAACTCGCCGGACCCCAGCCAACAGGGCGCCTCCCGCGGGTCGCCCGCAAAGATCGGGATTTGGCCTCCGCGCACACAGGCCAGGTATGGGGCCCGAAGTGGGAGGGGCCTTCGCCCCTGGGATCCGCGGCGGAAACCCGGAGCCTGGATCCTGAGAGTTCCGGGGGAGCCCTGCCGGGAGGACCCCGCAGCTCCCTGCTGTCCTTCGGGGCGCCCTCGGGGCAGCTCGCGGCCTGCGCCGCTCCCGGAACCCGGGCGGGCGCCCCCTGGAGGCCCCTTGGGTGGAAAGGGGGAACTCTGGCGGAGGTTGGGGGGGGGTGGGAGCGGGCGCTGTGGGGTCTGAGGTTCCACCCCCT